AAAAACATTACGGTTCATCAAGCAATGGAAAGAAGGATATTATGACTATGATATGCGGGAACGACGACAAGACTATGTTGTATGGACAAGTCATTAATGGCTATGTCTTCGAATTACACATCCGAAAGCATACTGACTGCGTGATTGCCATATATTAAAATCTCCTGTGGCTGGTATGTGGTTAGACAATCTAAGTGAAGCTTAAGTAATTAAGCTGAAGAATTCTCAATCGGACCGGCTTTCTGTTCAGAGCTGCAGCAAGTAACAGTTGTAGAGAAAATATCCGGCTTTCAAAATTATCTCTGGGCAGCATCCCATAATACAAAGTAGCCGAAAAGCAGGACATTGTTTTCTTCTTTCTTTTTCTATGTTGTATGGATGGTGGAAGTTAATTGTAATCTAAATAATATCATTTACAAAATGAATAATAAATTTATTTTAGTTGAGTTTGCATTTAAATCAAATCACAATCGCGTAAAAAAAACAACATTTGTTTGTATAAAACTTATTTTCTTAAATGAAAGATAATTAATTCTATATAAATTAGTTATCAGTAAAGATCTGAAATATTCATTGAATTTATCCATGAGAAAAACACTATTTATTACATAGAGCGAGATTTGCATTATTAAGTCTTGCGTCATTCAGTTTGTATATACGCATAGATAGGGATGTACGAAGCCCAAGCCTCTCTGGCTCGATCAGGCTCGGGTGTCAGAATTGATGTGGAAGTGGGTTGATGTTTATGAAAATGTGGTTAAAAATAGTGAGTGAGAGTGAAAAGGATAGTACCCGCACTCTCACCCACCACACCCTTAAAATAAATCAAAATTGGCTTAATCTGTTTTATACTTATTTTATTATGATTAGTATTAATTCTATTCAAAAAAACCCTATGCATTAGAATTAGTATTAATTAATACTGATGCCAAGTGTGATATATCGCATGAAAATTCGCCTAGGCTATGATTTACTATTACGTTTTAATAAGACCGACAGGGATTATTTATGATTCATTTTTGAAAAATTCCTATAAGCCACTAAATCATTAACTTAGAAAATTTATGTTTGATTTTGATATCTTATTGAACCACAACAAGTAAGTAAAACTTTGCTATCTTAGCCAAGTCACACAAGCTTTAAAAAAAAAGGTCTTTCCACGCGTTAAATCAGTGGATTTTCTTTCGAAAAAAAAGTAAATTTGTAAATAGTATCGTTGTGAAATTCATCTTTTTTAACGCTTCTCCGATTGGCAGAGTTTCATTTAGATACTCCTGACTAAATATTTCCTTATACATACTAAAAAGATCTATTGAAATGAAAATATGCTTATTTTTTATCATCATAATATAACATCAATAAGAAAGAAAAAACAAAACTACACATGGCGCGTTAGTGTGTTTTTTCTTTACTCTTTCTGTGTAAAACAACATATAAAAGTGAAAATATAAGTCATCGACTAGCCCACATAAAAAATAAGATAACGATTTTTTTCTCATATATTATTGTGTGCAATGAATATAAATTTCCAACGTCATCGTCATATTTGCTTTCACTGACAAAACAAACCATACTTTATAATTTGTGAAAATTTTTTCAGTCGATAATAAAAGAACATAAGCAATAATGGTATATGTTTTTAATGGAGTTTTTAATGAAGTTTTGAAAACATTTCTATTCATTTTTCTCTATAGGATAGTGATTTCGAGCTCAGCGATGATGAAAGATCTATTGATAACAATAAATCCACTTATAAAACCCTTTGTAAGTTAATTTTCATCAAAAGTCTTTTATTTATCGTTTTGATTTATTCAAAGTTTACAATAAATATCACGATGGAGCTAATAATACTGACAATTTTTACCCCTGTTTTATGCATCGTTACAGTGCTTGCCCTGTGTTTTTCTCCGGTTTCCTTTCAGATGCTTGCAAAACAGCTTTCAGTTCGCAAGATATTAAAGACGTATGTTTAAATCAATATTAATATCAATATATCACATAACCTTATCTTATTTCAGCGTCGTCCAGTACTTATTTACATACATCATGATAAAAGTATGTTAAATAACATATTTTGTAAAACTATATTGTGTACAGAGAAGATGGTTGATTATTTACTTGAAAACTATATTGTCTGGCCATGGGATATTACACTTGAGTCGGATAGAAATAGGTACGCTACTTAAAACTCATTTTATTTGTGTTCATGTACATTAAATTCAATGCTTGAATAATGTGAATACATCCTATTTCGCAATCTTGAATATTGCAGGAAACAGTTTCGCACACGGAATCAATTCTATCCGATTCTAGGAACTCATTCCTGCCATGATCAACATCGCAGAACAGGGTGACTACTCTGAGTAATATAACTAACATTATCACACCTCTTCCGTTGTCAAAAACACATAGTTTATAATATTTTTAAATTAGATTGTCGACAATATGGGAAAATACATTTTCTTCGCCACTATTTAATGATTTTTCTGTTGAAAAATGTCCAATGTTGATTGGTATAACACGTCGATCTACAGAAATCAAATCTTGGTTACCAACATCCGAATATCAGTTTACATCATTACTTAAAGGCAATACATTGACACGAACTCAACAAAAATGGGACATTGAGACACTATTATCCGAATTGATTACTTTTAAAGATGAATGTGATAATATTGAACAAATATGGGTGAGTCATTTCTTCATTATTCCATATAGTTCTAAGAGATTAAAAGAATGAATATAAATATATGATATTAAACATCATAATCATTATATTTTCTAGCAATATTATTTCTTTTTTGTATAGTATTTCAATACAGATTTAGATGATGATTTTAGTCATTGTGAGTTGTTTTTTTTAATTATTTTTTATAAAATAACAAAATTTCTCAATTGTATATTATTTGAAGTTTCTGATGGATGTGAATCTAAAGTAGATAGAACCGAATTCTTTTATGAATGTTTACAACAACGTTTTAGACGCTGTCCGACACTCGTCACTGACTTTCTTTCAAACATTTGTGAATCCACAGTTAGTTCAAAAATAGGAAAAGAGGTCTGTCGACATACATTATGTTGTTAAATAGAATATCTACTCATTATTTTAGTATCGTCCAGTTCTTATTTACTTGCATAATGACAAAAGTGAATTCAATAAGACCATTTGTCCAATAACTATAATTGACTCTTTATTGGAAAACTTTATTGTTTATCCATGGGATAACACATCAGAACTGAATCAAGAGATGTAAGAAATCTTAATTCTATAACATATATTATTTTTATAAAAAACATAGAACGGAAATCACATGGAAACAAATATTTTCAGTTTCTTTTAATGTATCTTTTCCTGATAAACAATATCCTATGGTTATTGGAATAATGAAACGATTCGAAGAGAAAAATAATGTCTTCCGCTTACCTAAATATCAGTTCAAATCATTGTTGAATGGTGATACACTGACTCGTACTCAGACTAAATTAAGTCGTGAAGGATTCTTAGAAGAATTGATTTTATTTCAACAGGAATGTATTGTTAATGAACAAGCTCTAGTAAGTCTCTATTCTTCTTTGTCCTTTAAAACATGATTAAAACCTTAATTTTGTTTTAGGCATGTGATTTTGTTACCAAAACTGGTCTTTCTTGGGATGTTATTCAAAAAATCAGTCAATATCTTTCATTAAACGATGCAATCAACTCATTTTCTATTCATATTCTTCCTGTACTTTCTAAATCTCAGATAGGAGTACATATATCAAATTTTTCTGATACATTTATAAGAATGATTTGTCAAAAACTTAACCCTCAACAAATTGTGTCTTTAGAATTTACTTCAACTTACCCTGAATCCATGACCACATTAAAATCTTTGTACACCTTCGAAAATGTTAAGACATTGACATTTGTCAATCCTCAATGTTCATCTGAAATTAGCACATTTACAGAGCGTTTTCCTTCTTGGATTTGTGTTCGTTTTTGGTATGATAATGAAGTCAATGCTGATACATTTGAAAAAATGTTTAATCAACTTCCAAGTTCAGTCAAACGTCTAGAGATTCGCATTGCACGACCATTTCATATTCAGTGTTATTCCATTGACTTAAATATTACGATTAAATATTTTTTATTCGATCTAAGTCGTTTTTCGTTAAGTTTGATGAATAATGATTCTCAACATCCTAATTCACATTTTTTAATGAGAATAATTCAGTTCATTCAAAAGATGCGCAACATTCGATATGTTTGTTTCATAACGAATAAAAACAACATCGGACAAGTATTATATATAGACCAATGGATGAATTTGGCAAGAGAATGTCTTCAATTGACGACGGTGACAATGAAAATATCTGGAAGTATGTCATCTGATCAAACATTAACGCAGCAATTGTTGGACTTACAAAAGGCATTGCATAACATCCGACAAACAATTAAATTTCGAATAATTTTTTTATGATTGTTTTTTCTTAGTGATCCGTTAGTTGGTTATTTTCCGAAAATCTTATATTGATTTCGGTTGTACCTTCAAAAATCGAAACATGCGTTTACTTTATTTAGTGTGTGATTATGTTAAGTATATTATTCATGAGTTTTAATTTAATTGTCGTTTAATCTTTCTAATTCTATTGTTCTACTTATTTATACTTGAAACAAAACATCAATATTTGTTGGAAATAATAAAATCATCGTAATTTCATAGATTTTGAAGTAACATCTGTCGACAGCATCTATATAAAAGTGGTGTGTGTTCGAAAATGAAGATTCTAAGAACGTTTTTAAATTTTTATGGCCGCAGTATAAATATATCCAGAAAAGGTAGAGTTAAAGGATGCGTGAATAAATGTGACAATAAAAAGACATGTACTCTATTTGATGATACGAGTTCTTACAGACTCATTCATTATCGTAGTATCGTAAAAGTTTGATCTGATTGTTTATTTATTGCGAGGGTGTGGATGTGGATGAGGTAGTGATAATATCTACATCCACATTCGATTGCTATTTTCCACTTCACAATTCTAACTAGTAAGAACAATCAAAATTCCAACAATAATGCAATTGGGTTGGACGCGGATTTGATAATGAATGTGGATTTGTTGATTGATTGATATCATCATTTTCAGCCAATATTATGCGATACTACAAGTAGACCACATATTCCAGTGTCCATAATAACTGTTGATTTAAATAAGTTTGATTTTTTTGTATCAAGAATAAAAATATTTTTCAATCGTTCTTCCCTTTTTACTCCTAATTGATACAAGCGTTTCGTTTTTTGTCTTTTATTGTTTTAGTTGAATAAACATGACGTATAAGATTTTTAGATTTTTTTTAACTAATATGCCGTCATTTATCGAGATTTTCGACTAAAAACTGGGTGGACGTGGATGTAGGTGTGAGAGAAGAGACACACTCTCTTTTCGTCCATGTTCAATTTCAAAAAATTCACTTGTATTTTTTACTGATATGGCTAAATATTGAAAATAGATTATATAAACTCTCTTGATCAAATAATAAGTAATATAAATCTTATTCAATTGTTTTTTTCTCTTGATTAATTGTAATAACAGAAGATGAAAGTCGAAATCTATTTGTATTAGTATTTTTTTAAAATCAATTTATCCCTGATAACTTGTACGAAATCATTGTATTCATTTCAGATATTAATGTTGACAATAAGATTGTAATGATAAATATTTGAATGATACTATCGAAACAAATAGTAGCCTAAAATAATCTATTTAATTTTAATCATACGCATTGAGTTTGTTACAAGTATTTGTTTTTCTACATAATCATTCAAAATGACAGAAGGTACACGAATATATTTTGTTTTATTCATATCAGAAATGCTGCAATATCATTACTATTACTTAGAGTAATAAAGAGATAAACAAATACAATAGTAAGAATGTTTCTGGTCAAAGCTTAAATCTCTACCTCGATATCAGGATACGTAATTAAATTTGAAGGTCTGTGTGAGAAGACGAATAATTCTGTAGAAAAGAGAAGAAACTCACAGACAACTTCAAAGTTTAAATTTAATTCCTTGAATAGAAATTCATAGAAATAAAATGATTTAAGTATAATCGAGAAAAATAGAAGTCAGTCGTGAAGAGACATCTTTGGTTTGTTTAGTGACGACAGTATCTCATCACTTTTGTGTCTCCTTTGTGTGGATAATGGTCAGCGGAAACTCTAGACGAATATTCGTGTAAAAACCACGAATGTGAGCTTCGACTAGAATCTTATGACTGACGACCAGTGGTTTGCATTTTAAAAACCCATTAGAAGAATCTGCAGCCCATGTAGATGCAGCTTTAAGAGGTACAGGTAATTCTAACTGTTGGTAAAATGTTTCGCCTCGAAATGAGCGAATTTCTTTGAGATTCTGCTTATGTAGAACGACATGTTCTTTTGTGATGCAACCTCCTGATACTATCTGGAACAGAGTGGCAGTTATACGACGTATGGGTTTTTTCTTCGGATTATGCAGGTTAACCTCCATTGAAATATTTTTTCCAACAGCGACTATGTTTTCATGAAGAGTAACATGAAGATGTACACCTTTTCGATTAGTTTTTTGTTCTTCAATTTTCTTTGGATTCGTCAACGACGACAAATGTCGAATATTAATGGAGCAGTATTTCTCAATGCTCATTTTATACCAGTTGGGCCGTTCAAATTTCAAATAAATGTAGTACTTAATTTCTGCGCTATTGGAATCAATCTTTTCAATTGTAGGTGGTAAGGATTTGTCAAGACGTAAACCAAACGGCCAACTATAGTTCCGGGATGCTGGAAGAATATGTTTTGCATCACTGGCTACACGTAATATAAATCGTTTGTCTAAGAAATTATAGCCGCGGCGTGTTTTTTTATCCAAAAAGCCCGCTTTATATTCAATTCGACCGGCCAGTTCAGCAGTGATATCCGTTATATTCCACTTTGGATGTTCACTATGGGCATATTCAATCGTGCCAGAAAGCATATCGCCAGTCCAAAATGTATTATGCTGTTGTCCAGTAAATTGACATTTGGCATCGAATTCAGATGATATAAAGCTATTTGAACTTAAGAACATCGATGTTAGAAGCAAATATTGTTGAGTAACACTCTGCATTGTACAACGTATAATGAAATACAAATGAAGAAATCAAAAGTGACTTATTCTTTATTCTCACTTTCTAACATTAAATGAAAAGTGCCAAATGTCGATATTCTTCTATCAACTATGAAAAGGTTGTCAAAGATAAAGAACACATGAATTGAAAATGTCGATAATAAAGAAAAAGGTGAACTAATTTGGGTTGTCATTTTCATTCAGTTTTTGTTTACGTAGTCAAAGTTTATTTTGAAAAAAAATCGCATGTAAACACACAATCATTTGTATGTGCACATATAGAGCGTGCATGTGCATGATATAGATAGAGTGAACAATCACATCCAAACTCATACTCTAGAAGTCATTCGTGAAGAGACATCCTTGGTCTGTTTAGCGACGACAGTATCTCATCAGTTTCGTGTCTTATTTGTGTGGATAATGGTCAGTGGAAGTTCCAAAAGAATGTTGGTGAGAAAACCAAGAACGTCGGCTTCCACTAGAACCTTATGGCTCACGACCAATGGTATGCACTTTTTAAACCAGTTAGAAGAATTGGAGGCCCATGTGGATGCAGCTTTAAGGGGTACAGGTAATTCTAACTGTTGATGAAAAGTTTCCCCTCGAAATGAGCGAATTTCTTTGAGATTCTGCTTATGTAGAACGACAGTTGCTTTTGGGGCGCAACCTCCTGATACTGTCTGAAACAGAGTAGTGGTTATACGATGTATGAGTTTTTTCTCTGGATTACGCAGGTTAACCTCCAATAAAATGTTTTTTCCAACAATGACTATGTTTTTATGAAGAATAACATGAAGATGAACACCATTTCGAT